TTCATTTGCATAAACTTTAAGATGGATTTTCTTGGCCAGATTCACTTTTATTTTGAAAATTTTAGCGAAACACAAAGGAACTAACCTAGACGTTTGATAAGTAATCTACAGTATTCGTGTCCGTGTTGTATCCGATATACAAACTAGAAGCATAGCATATTACATACAATTAGCCAAGTGAAAACACTTAAATAGAACATTAAGTCACCTTCAAGGGGTATTACCTGAACTCAAGTTATGTCAGAAGATGAAGAAAGAAGAAGAAGAAAAAAGAAAAATTAATTTCAAAGGAAGTTAAGAAGTAAAAAAATAGGTAGTGATAAAATGACCTGAAGCCGGGTTGAAAGGATAGGCCTTTAGCACGATGCAACGTCGATGTCCCCACTACTTTGACCGTCGATAAAAAAATTTTTTCAAAACTTTTTTTAAATCTTTCTGCAAATATACGAAACAGTTTGTGACGACAATTTCATGAGACCAAAATAATGTGTTAATATAGACAATATGAAAGAAATATCCTTAAGTTTCAAAAACTCAGTTTAAACTTTGACACCGCAAGTTGGATTTCCATGTTTTTACAATATACCATATATCCTGAAAAACTTCGTAAGAAATTGAATTAAGCTCAGTAGATCTCATTAGACCGTAGACCTCTACAAAACTTTTTCACAATTTTGTCAATTGGCTTTTTTTCATACGGTATGCACTCTAAAACGAAGACTCAGAGCATGCGCAGAAGGTTTTACTCATATCGTGTCTAAGTGCACGTGAATTTGGATCATTAGAGAGTTTTAGATCGACTTTTTTTTCTCCCCGCAAACGGCAAACGTGACCACGTTTTCATAGTTTTCCTGTATTTTACTTTACCTTTTACAAACCTTCTCACCAAGCGCAAATACTCTTTTGTTTTTCTACTAATTGGACTTTTTTGCGATTCTTTTTCAGTAATTTAAAAGAATTTTTTACTGGTCAACTGACGTTTCACGTTTGTCGTGAACGTAAATCTAAAACTCTCTAATACATGCTGACAAACGTTATCATTAATCATTAATTCTAGTTCCTTCGTCGCCTAGAAACAAGCGTTTAAAATCACGAAAAAAAACCGCTCTTAACCTTTTATCACTAGTTAATAGCTTTCGTTAAAGATTCTTACCTTTGAGATAAAGTTTCCTGGGTGAACGGGTTATGCCACTGGCTGTAAACGTTCATTCTACTATTTGTCATTGCCTGTGCTTAATGCTTCATTACTCTTTACACCTAGTGATGCCGACGCCGAAGAGAAAGTATTTTGAACATTAATTATGTTTGCCATGTAATTGCTTGTGAATGATAACATGCGTGTGAAACGAAACAAAAAAGATAACATCGAGAATAAATTTGAAAGGTTTTTTCTAATTTAATAAAAGTACAATGAACCAGTCCTACCTCCTTTAAGCGACTAGCTGTCATATTATGTTGGATGTCGGTCAGAGCTACGACCATTCCTTATAGACAAGCAGACCTGTTAGAACGACCATGCACTTTGGAACGACCATCCCTCTTTGAACGACCATTCTTTTTTGAACAACCATCCTTTTTGAAACGCCCAGCCCTTGGAAGGACCACCTCTATTTAAACGACCATCATCCCTTTTATAAACGACCATCCCTTTTAAAACGACCATCCCTTTTTGAACGACTATCCCTTGTTGAATGAACAGCCCTTTTTAAACGACCAACCCTTTTGGAATGACCATCCCCTTTTGGAACGACCATCCCTTTTGAAACGCCCAGCCCTTTTATAAACGACCATCGCTTTTTAAACGACTTTTCCTTTTTGAACGACCGTCCCTTTTGAAACGACCATCCCTTTTGGAACGACCATCCCTTTTGAAACGACCATCCCTTTTGAAACGACCATCCCTTTTGAAACGGCCATCCCCTTTTGAAACGACCATCCCTTTTAAAACGACCGGTATCCCTTTTGAAACGAATGTTCTGCATTTCTCCTAAACCGACTAGCTAGGTGTCTTCAAAGGACTAAACGACCAGCCGCCTTTTTTTTGAACAGTTCTCTTGGTATTAAGCAACATTATGGTCAAGTTCTTTCAGAACAATAACCTATTTATCCGACCGCCACCTTTCAGGCAATGCGAATACCTTCCTGGGGTTTTTAATCATTGAAAATAGAGCAGAACTTTTTATAAAAAGATATAACTAGCTAAAAACTAGTGTGAGCTGCGTCGGTGTTTCTAATGAAACAGTAATGATGAAAAGGTAAATCATACACCGTGAAAAGATGAAAAAAACTCACTGACGTTTCGGACGCTAGTCCTTCGTCTTTCTCTTTTACTCCGACTAAGGACTAGCGTCCGAAACGTCAGTAAGTTTTTTCATCTTTTCACGGTGTATAATTTACCTTTTCATCAGAACTTTTTAGGTCTTTATCTTTCGTTTATTTATGTTTTGATTTTTAAAATCTACCAAAGTATTAGATTTTAGAACCGTTTAAAACAGGTTACAAACCATATGTAACAACACATCATTAAGTTTTAAGTTTTAACTTTATTTAAAAAAGAATATACATAAAATGTTCACAACTCAACTATTTTTGCAGCTTGAGGGAATTAATTTTTATTTGGTTAAAAGAAATATTAAGTGTAATTGTAATAATATTATATGAATTTTTAAGCTTTACTTTTATTAATGTCATTGCCTTTGGTTAATAACGTTTCGATAATGCAATGTGTTTACAACTTTGTGCGACAACTAGAACATTTTTGATCATAAAATTACTCAGTCTGATAACGTGAAGTTAAAATATTTTCACCCTAGCATTTTGTCGAGAATAAACGACAATTTTCCCAAACAAAAGTTTTCCCTTAAACCTTTTTTGATTTACCCATTAATTACTTGTTTAACAAACCACTTGGCTTTCGACCAATGACTTCCAAGGATTTTTCACCACCTTCTTCATCATTTGCTTCCTCTTCCAGAAACGCGCGACTGGCACTCTCTTCCACAGGTTCCTCTCGGCCATTATCCGGGACATTTCCATCAAGTCGTTTCCCGCCACGGCTTTCTTGATCTGCGCATGCGTACCTGATAGTCTACGGTGGTCGTTATTGGCAACCAGGTCGATGAGGACGGCTTTGATTCCTGGGTGAAGGTTTTTCCAGCTTTTCTTTGCGAGTTGTTTGTCGTTGAAGATTTTCTTTGCTTTAAGCTCATTTAATTTGCAAATCCTTTTCAATTCCTTGTCCTCTACGTCTGAATTCTGAACATTGAAATTAGAAAAATCATCTCCCAAACACAAATTTCAACAACAAAAACAACAACAGAAATACATTTAGAAATAGAGGCTTTGCACCATCACGTGATGGCAGCCATGACAGGAGGCTGAAACAACTGAATCTGGTCTAATCTGATTTACATGAGAAAGAATTCAGTTTCCCAGGGGAGAAAGAATACTATTGTTATGCCTCCTGTCATGGCTGCCATCACGTAATGGCGGAAAGCCTGTATAGACATTTCTCGACTACAAAACAATGGCCTCAAGTCGAGCTTTGACTTGATGATTTCATACATTTAATTTCATCCAACCTCGACTTGAAGCCATTGCTTCGAGCTAGGTCAAACAGAGAAATTCAGGAAAGGTCAACTAAAAAGTGTTGGTAAAGCAAATAATCTCCAAACGATGCATATTATGAGATATAAGGCAAATAATAATATTTCTTTTATACAAGACATATGATAAAAAAATAACTTTCACGTTATTACCTCGATATTTTTCAAAATATCTCGCCTGGATCGTTTGTTAATAACAACAGAAGACGATACTAGAATGAGAAAAATTACAAAAGACGATCAAAAAAGGCAGGATTTTGATTCTGATAGTGGTGACGGTGATTGATGATTTTAATGATGACAAAGATGATAATGAGAATGAAGCATAGTTTTACCATTCAATGCTGATGTGGACACCGCTGATGGTGATGATGATAATGATGACGACGACGACGATGATGATGATGCTGATAATGGTGATGATGATGATGATG